CGCAAGTGGGCCTGAGACGCGGGCCCCGCCGCCTGCAACGCTGTCTCCTACTCGCGCCCAGTCACAAGTGTTGTGCACGCGCTAGCCTTCTGGATCGGCTTCTGGGTCTATCGGAAATAGGCTGGCCTGCTACCTGGCTTGGGCTAGGTGCCAGACTGTTTTGCGAGCTGCAGGGTTTGGATAGGGTGCCAGGCCATGTTTTGGACTAGGTGCTGGGCAAGTCCACCTCCGGTGGAACTGCTCTAAGCAAAAGAAACCGAAAGAAAAGGTAGTATTTAACATTTAACCGCAAGTAAAAGTGTGTGTGTCACGTGCCAGCCAAACCTAACATTCTTCCTAGTTCTGAATTCTCTCTCCTTCAACGGTGGTTGGTCGTATCAACCGCTAATCTAATACGCTGGTAAAGACTATGCTGCTCCTCCTCCTTGTTCTTCTTCTTGTTCAAATTCTCGAGACAGAGAGTGATGGCGGCGGCGGCGGTGGTTTTTTTGGCGGCAGTGCTCCTCTGAAACTGAATTGGTCCATTGCCAAAAGAGAGAACGGAGGGATCCTCGTCCTCTTCATCCTCATCCTCCTCATCCGCTATTTTCTACGACTTTCTCGATCGAATGCGAGACCCTGCTTCCCTCGATCTCGTCCGATCTATCAAAAGGTACTGCCTGAAACTTAAACCCTAATCAATGGAATCGAATCGAATCACCATTTAAATTGTTTGGTTTTATATTTGTTTCAGTTTTATCGTTTCCTTGTCGTTTTACGCGGCCAACCCTGAAAGTGATGGCAAAAAGGTTCAGGAATTCTACGCAAAGATGGAAGATATTATTAGGGATCATCCTTTGTGGGCAGGTGCCACTGATGAGGAAGTCAATTGTGCAATGGAGGTACTGTAACTCGCTCCTTGTTTGTTTCAATTCAAACACGGTGGACGAATTTGGTTCAGTCTATATTGGTCTTCTTAAGAATTTCAAAATTCGCTTCACCCAATAATCAGTTTCTCCTTACATCGCATCCCTTTTGGTTAACAAATTAAGGGAAGACAATGTAGAATGTACAACCAAATTATCTTTTTAACATGTGGAATATTGAGTTTGGAGTGTGTCTGCCTATGGCTACTGCAGGGTTTGGAGAAATATGTCATGACAAAGTTGTTTTCCCGGACCTTTGCTTCTTCACCCGAGGATGCAAAGATTGACCTTGAAACCTCGCACAAAATACACTTGCTGCAGACCTTCTTGAAGCCTGAGCATCTGGATATTCCAGTAGTTCTGCGCAACGAAGCTTCAGGGCTGGTGTGTGTGCTGCATTTGCACTGATTGTTGGAACTGCTGGCACTGCATTCCTTCTTAGTGCTTATTTAGTTCCATTTAGTTATGCTAATACAATGTTCTGTATATTATTTGTCATTTTAGATTTAGTATTCATAGTTACAAGGTTATTCTATTATATCTGTTTTACCAAGCGCTGTAGTAGAGGTCATTATATTAATTTGAAGGTGATGACTTCCAGCTAAATACTTGGCTGTTCTTAAATAAGTAAATCAACCATAAAAGACATGTCAATTAGGCTCACATTTTCACTTTTATCTCAATGATTATATTTCCTTGGAATACTGAATGAGGTTTAGTTTCATAATTTTCGTTCCCAGCTCAGGACTGAATGTATTCATCATGTATTTTGAATTTGAGTGATTGTGACTTCAGCAGACACATTTTCTTAGGATTAGTAGTCCTCAATTGCAATTCATTTTCCAGCAGAGCTGCTCTAATTCTTTATAAATTATGTGCACCAAACAACAGCCTTGTTGCCCTGCCTGATACACAACGAAACTAACATATGAAAGAATGTGCATAGCATCAGACTTGAAAACTCAAGCTAAATACGTGTATATATACATATCTATGCAGTCACACTTTTTAAATCCTAACAGCGCCTTTTGATTTCAGCCATTTCCGATATTGATCATAAAAGGAATTTCTGCTTCTGCTCTTTCCTTTTGTTTTCCTTTGGAGGTGAATGTGTGGTTTGAGAGATAATAAATAATCTGAAAAGAAATTCTTTGGTAGGAATTATTGCAGAGAATATTGGATAGTATCCTTCTCCCCTTGAATGGATTGGTTTTATGAAGATGAATGGTCATCCAGAGAACTAGATTGTTCAAGATCTTTTATAACTGCATTACTCAGCTTCTCTATTTTCCTTTTATTATCAATTTAGAGTTGTAAATTTTTTTTATTTGATATAGAAATGTTGTACTTATTCCTTGTAAGAACCAAGGACTAGCCACAACTTCTCTCTTTTCTACTCAGCTTGCAGAAAAAGAATTGCGGAAAATCAATGCCTTCAAAGCCCCTCGTGAAAAGCTTCTGTGTATTATGAATTGTTGCAAGGTCATTAACAATCTGTTGCTGAATGCATCAATGTCAGAGAATCATGTATTAGCAGGAGCTGATGACTTCCTTTCTGTCCTTATATATGTCATGATCAAGGCAAGCTTCCCTTGGTAATAAGCCATTCTGTCAATCATGCCAGTTTTAATTTTTCAGATTTTAACAGTGTGAGGTCACATCGTACATGCCTAAAGATATTTGGTTTTATTACCTCATTTGTTTGGTCCTGGAGTGTGTTAAATGTTAATTTTTTTTCCTTACTATTGATTGCCTTGTCAGCATCATCAGAGTGTTTTAGTTGGTCATAAGGTGTCAATTGGTGTTCATAGTCGTTTTGTGTTATCTAAGTGAGATATTTTATTTGATGCTAGTTGTTGATCAATCATTTTCATGTTTTATAAGAAGTGCTGTGTTAGCTGTAAAGCTTGATTTCCATATGCTACATCACTATTTACTAACTCTTTCAGCTTTGCACTAACAGGTCAATCCTCCACAGTTGCATTCCAACCTCAAATTTATTCAGTTATATCGAAGGCAGACAAAACTTGTGTCGGAACCGGCTTATTACTTCACCAATCTTGACTCGGCCAAAACATTTATTTTTGAGTTAAATGCTAAATCTATTTCTATTGATGAAATTGAATTTGAAAAGAGTATGCAAGCTGCAAGATTGACAATAATGCTACAGAAAAGGGCACCACGCACACTTTGGAAGAAATGACAACCTCACAAGGCCAGACAGATCCTGGTTCATCAGCGGCATCGCATTATAAAGGAAGAAGCGGTAAGGTTCAAACTATAACTCATTTTCCTAACCCTATGTTTGGATGAGGAACTTTCAAAGTCTTCAGGAACTTTTAAAGTCTCAAGGAACTTGAGACTCAATTGTTAAAAATGCATGAGAAGAAGCACTACCAATTAACTGCTAGAGCAATACAAAGCTACTACTAAAACACTACAAATGCACTACAAAGACGCTAAACAAAAGACTTCCAAATGACACCTTTCAAGGAGTCATTCGAAAGTTGTCTCAAATGTATTGCATTTAGTCATTTTGAAGTCTCTCTATTTAAATTCCTAAAAAAATTTCCCTTAGATCCATGGAACTTTAAAGTTCCTCATCCAAACGCACCATAAATGTTACATTTTCGTCAGTCCTTAATTTTGAGGTGTTTGCATTAATCAACACTGCCTGATAACTTTAAGGCCTCTTTTTGGATTGGACTGGGTTGGTTTGCATAATTCACTAGATTCTATGTATGTTGAAGCAAGAAAATGAATATCAACTTGAAAATCTTGTCCAAGTTGAAGTTAGAAGATGGATTAGTTATGTAGGGAACTAATCCATTCCAATCCTACCAAGCTAGAAGGGAAGAGTTACGTTCATGAGGCATGACTAATCAATGATCTACCTTCGTTGCATAAAGTATGTAATTGAATGAGGATATCTATTTCAACATGTGATTCATTCACAACCTTGATTCCTTATCTTGGTAATCCAATATTAGTTTGGCTTTGTTTGCTGCATTGGATTGGATTGGGTTAGATGAATTTCAATGTATAACGGTGTGCAAACAACAAAATAATATATCACTTGCCACTGGTGGAGCCAGTTAAAACCTAGGAGGGTCATATGACCCTGACCCTTCTCACAATTTGTAAATGTTGTATTTATATGTGCTATATTCATGTAGCTTGGCTTTTATAGTTATAGTTGACCTTCCTCACAAATGTAATTTGCTCATGGTTGAGGGTCCAATACATAATTTCATAATATCATTCTTTGCCTCTTAATCAAATAAAAGATACTAAATTTCTTGTCCTCATACTCATATCCAGTTACTTTTATTCGAATTTGCACCAAAATGCATAGGCATGATTGCTTTCTGCCATTGTTGGAAAGCATCATTTGCTATAATGTTAATTAATTAAATCATAACGATACCAAGGCTAGAAACTTGGAGTATTTTTATGCTAATTAAGTTGATACTTGTGATCTTTTCTGAAGCAAGTTTCATTTATAAGGTCAATTTATCATAATTTGATTTGACCCTCCTTGACAGAATTTCTGACTTCGTCACTGCCGCATGCTTTATTTTTGCTTTTGTATGCTCGAATAATTGGAGCTTTGGACCGTATATTTTTAGTTTGGTGTCATATTCCAATCCATAAATCCATACGTAACAGATAAATGCATCCACCATTGTGAAAATATGTTTATCCGTTGAGTTTATATACTTTGTTATTTTGTTTCTGCTAGTTACCCTTCCAGACTCTCGACCATGATTTAAACATTCTGCTGAAAACTACAGGTTCATCAAATTACCCTTGTGTGGACAAAGAGGCTGGAGATTTGACAGTTGGAGACGTCGAAAGACTGCTAACCGCGTATGAGGAAGTGGTTACCAAGTACACGAGTCTCTGTGCGGCTGTTGGAAACCTTTCTTTTTCAAGGACTGAACCCCATGCCACTGGTTTAGAAGCCAGAAATGTAGTGTTGACAGAGTCGGAGGAAACAGATAAGAATTCTGATCAAAGAGGATGAGGGGGCAACTTTCAAGATCAGTTACCTTTTTCAAAATCACGACAAACAAAGTTTTGCAAGGCACACAATGAATAAATAGCCTTTTCTTTCTCCATTCAGCTATTTACAGAGAAATTTTCTCAATAAAAGGTTCACGATGAGGCAAGTTCACAAGGAACTGCCATGCAAGGAACTGCTAAGACGACAAAAAACCTGCCCCCATCCAAAAACTAGCGAATGTTAACTGTACAGAAGGTTACAATTACAAATCAACCAACACCGAATGCCATGTTCACGTCAGATGCCACGCTGGGACCGTCAGGTGCTTTGCTCCGCAAGCCGAGTTGGAGAAAGAAACACTCTTGCTAACTCCCTTGGCTTGTTCATGGGTGTTTTGGGCTTTCTTGGCTCACGCATCTCATGCAAACAAACTTTGCAGGCATCTCATCAGAGCTATGAATCCCGGCACACCTGGTGTGCTGCCAAACACCACATGTATCACAAGCCAACATCCTCTCCCCGTCGTCATCCTTGGCCCCACATGTGCAATCAACGGTCCAGCTTTCAATTCCTCTCTCCATCCGGAAACGGTTCAGCCCATGTTTAGCAAGGCATCTCCCTTCAATGGAATTGAGCCACATGATCCAAGCAGAAGTTTTACTGTAAATGAATCCTTTATGGAGCCATATCCAAGCAATTCCTCTACTTCAAACCTCTTAAACATGGCATATACTTCCTGAAATGCTGTGGTGGCTTCCCTTTTAAGGTCAGCGACTGTCGCACTCAAGGGCAAGACAATGAGTTCCGGAGGCAGGACAAAATCATCTTTGGACTCGTCTGAAAGCGCTACATGACACCAGAGGTGAATCCCAAAGGAGCTTTCCTCTGCCATTTTGTAAGGCTTATAGTCCTTCACGAATTGCTTGCAATCAAGAAGCTTAGTTGCTGCATCGATAATGCGTTCCCTCATCACTTGGGGTGTATGACTTAGCATGGTGTCAGGGTGGAGAATGGAATCATATAAAAATTTGAGGTCACAAAGGATTTGCTCTTCTGAGGGAAAATTCAAATCCGACTCAGATCCATCAACATTTTGAACACTTGATGACTCAAGCCTGTTACCATAATTAATGTCAGGACAACACTCAAAGAATGTATTAAGTTGACAAAAGCAACTGAACCAAACAATGATGGTCTCTAATTACCTGTATTCTACGTCAACTGAAGCGGGACTAAATCGGGCCTTAACTACCATACCATTGGGTGCCAACTTCCCTCCTAGGTGTTTAAGGCAGTAATCAAGAAGCTCCAGAGAGGAATTCTTGTACAATGCACCCCTGAGAGCTCGTTTTGACACCCAGCTAACCCCACCAGTACCAACTGCTGCAAGCAGCAGCTTGATCATAGCTTGCTGCACTTGTTCGACATCATTGACCGTCCACGCACATAAAGCATTGGAAGGGTACTGCTGCTCGGGTTTCTTGTTAGATGATGTATGCACACGGGCTCTATGGCTGAGACTCAACATAAACGTAAAAAGATCCTTGATTGTTAGGAGTTGGATATTGGATAAAGATTGGTAAAAGGCAATAACAGACTGGAGGCGAGTCCGGGGTTTCCTTGGTTGGAATAGAAAAGGGTCAAGAGGCAAGCTGGACAGGGTATCCACTGCCTTTTGGTAAGAATGTTGAGTGAGAGCATAGCTCCCAGCACCAAATTCATAACCCCAATTGCCATACCAAGAACGGCCGCTGGTGACAGCGTGCAGCATTCGGTACTCCATCCCGTACTTCTTGGACAGATCCATCACGCTAACCTTCCTGTCGAATGTAATTCCAAATTCAACACAAGTAATGCAATTCAGTTTCCCATTGATCTGCAAATCAACGTAATTTGGAGATTAATATAACAAAGTAAAAGGAAAGAATTAAGGACCTGACGGAGAGGGCTAGACATAGCCTATCCCAAAAGTCCAAAATATGACGGCCAGAGAGAATGGCTGAGCCGCCTTGTCTACCGTTGAGGGTGAGAAGGTGGGCGAAGCCATTGGAGTGAATGACGGCGTGGAGGAGGTGGGTGTTGTCATGAAGCTGAATATACGCCCACTCTTCCACAGCATCCATTTCTGCCGTCGTGGTGGTGGCACTAATAGAGTTGCACCACTTGCTGCCGCCGCTGCTCTGCATCTGTTCATTCTCACCGCTCTCAGCCCCTCTTCTTATTATGAAGTGGTACCGCTTCTTGCACACCGGATGCCCACTCCAACCTTCGTGTTTGTATTTTTGCCAAACCAACGTTAAGTAAAACATTATCCTAAACATAATTATTAATTAATAAATTAATCAATAACAGAGAGAGAACGAGAGTGGGTGAGTGGACTCACCAACGACTCGGCACTGGTCGCAGTAGACGGATCGTCTGGAGCGGGTGACGTCCTCCTCCACCACGTCCAAGGGAAGCACGGCGGTCGGGTCGCCCGGATGCCCGAGCCGGAGCGAGATCTGCGACGTCACCAGGGAAGGGAACAGCGAGGAGGATGGGCACGTGACATGCGCGTGGCGTATGAGGAAGCGGCGAACGCTGTCGCGGAAGGGCAGGGGCTCGACCTCGTGGTTTTGGGGGAAGGGGAAGGTGAAAAAGTCGGGGAGATCGGCGGTGACCCTCCTCCTGGCGCGCTTGGAAGGTCTGTCGTTGATGACCATGGTAGATCTGGCTTCGTAGTTTGGTTTTTTGTTTGTTTGTTTAATTTTGTGAGTGATTTGGTGTTTGGTGCCTTAAAATTCGAAAACCTTGTTCACAGAGTTCCACACACAGAGATTCACAGATTCAAACAAACATCTTTAATAAAAAATAAAAAATTATATTAACAAGATTGGAGGTAGGAGGTAGGAGGCGAGGCGAGACGAGACGAATCGAATCGAATCGAGGCAAGTCGCACTAGTATTTTTAAGAATTTAGATTAAATTAAAACAAGAGCAGAAGAGCAACTGAATTCTGAATCTTGGATGTTTGATTTGACTGGGTCGCTTCCTTTGCTTTTTACTTTTATTTATATTAAATAAAAGAAAATAATCTTAAATTTTAGAATTGGTAAGGTTTCGGAAAGGCGGTTCCTGATTTTTCTTTTGTTTTCTGTTTCTTTTTCCATCCCCACTTTTCTACATGTCTACTCTTCTTTCTTCTCATTCTTGTGCTGATCGCACTCTTATTTTTACTTATTTATTTATTAATTTTATTCAGCTCATTAGAAAAAACAAAATGAACGTGTTAATGGTATTATTTTTATTAAATTAGGATTAAATGAGAAAATATTTTCTATAATTATTCTTTTTTTTATTTTTATCAAATGATAGATTTTTATTAGATTAGATGTTAGATTATTCTCACTGACGAAGTTCTAACTCACGTCGTCATGCAATCTCAGTGTACTTTCATCATTGTAAGAGCAACTTCAGCGTTGGAGCCCTCCCCTTAGGCTATGCACTATTTAATCCACCTTATGAACAGTAACTGCTCTTAATGAACAGTAATAGCCCTGGCAATAGCATTTGCATATCCACCGTTATACTTCAATAGCCCTGGCAATAGGCAATAAAATATTAGTATTTTTTTATTTATAAAATAATACAGAATAATTTTAATTGTAATTTCGGATAAGATTTTTAATCGTTCTCGTTGCGCCACGTGTCATTATCCGAAGTATTATTAAATAATACAAAATAAATTTATTTGTAATTTCGGATAAGATTTTTAATCGTTGTCGTTGCGCCACTTGTCATAAAATCTGAAAAGACAATTATTGGGGATGGATTTCCGATAAATTTTTTAATCGTACTCGTTATGCCACATGTTATTATCCGAAAATACAATTATTGGTGATGGATTTCTGATAAGATTATTAACCAATCACGTCGCGCCACGTGTCATAATCTGTTTACAATCTTTGAGGATAGATTTCTATCAGATTTTTAACGAATGACGGCATGCCATATGGCATTATGTACAACCTAATCCTTTCTAAATCCTCTATATAATCCACCATCCATCCTTACAAATCTCACACCAATTTTCTCAAGATCTCTATCACTATTCATAGTTTCTGCTTCCTTCTTCACAAAAATCTGTATCATTATTCATAGTTTCTGCTTCTTTCTTACAATGTCTTCTTCTTCCTCAAGGATGATGTGGGAACTCGATAAGAAAGAGGAAGAATTGTTTAACCAATCAGAAGGAATGTTCAATCACCAGGGGGCAAAAAATGAGAGGGAAGAGGATGAGGAGCGTAGAAGGAGAGATGACGAAGTAAGAATGGGCAGAGCCTTACATTCCCGTCGAGTCATCCAAGTTGTGGCTCAGATCTGCAGGCCCAGCCGTTCCAGAAACCTTGATAGAAGTAGGCAACGACGAGGTATGGAACTCTTGGACGATTATTTTGTCCCTAATAGTGCATTCCCTGATACGTACTTTAGATGTCGTTTTAGAATGGAACGACATTTGTTTAACAAAATCATGATTGCTGTTTGCAACCATGATTTTTACTTTGTGCAAAAGAATGATGCTTTTGGTGATATGGGTCACCTTCCTCAGCAAAAAATTACTGCTGCCTTGTGGATGCTTGCATATGGAGCATCTGCAGGCCAAGTGGATGAGATAACGAGGATGGGGAAATCAACCATTCTTGAGTCCCTGATGAGGTTTTGCGGAGCAATCGAATCTATCTACACCGCTGAGTACCTCCGCAAACCTACAAACATGGACTTGGAACGGCTGCTGAAGAAGGCCGAGATGCGTGGTTTTCCTGGGATGATTGGAAGCATTGATTTTATGCATTGGACGTGGAAAAACTGTCCAAGTGCATGGCAAGGCGCTTATGGGGACAGAAAATGAGCAAAAAGTATCATTCTGGAAGCGGTGACATCTTTTGATACATAGATTTGGCACGCCTTTTTCGGGGTTCCAGGAGCTCAAAATGACATCAACTTCTTTGCCCAATCTCCAGTGTTCAACGATGTCCTGAAAGAAAGGCACCAAAAGTCACATATGAGGTCAACAGACGTATGTATGACGGGCCATACTACCTAGCTGACGACATTTACCCGCGATGGTCAACATTTGTCAAAATGGTGCCATGTCCGCGAAGTGCAAAGGAAAAACACTTCGCAAGCTGTTAAGAGGGGTGCAGGAAGGATGTGGAACGTTGTTTCGGTATCCTCCAAGCTCATTGGGCGATCGTTAGGGGTGCTGCCAGATTGTTTGATGTAGAGTCGCTTCGATCCATCATAATGACGTGCATCATTCTTCACAACATGATTGTCGAAGATGAGTACGATTATGAAACCGTTGATGAATATGAGCCAGACACGATGAACAATTCAAGACCACGTATATATTGTGCTCATGACGCCACCAATGAGCCCGTGCAACATGAGCCATTACAAAGGAATGGACGTTATAATGAAAGGCTCATTCAACAATATACTGCATTTCAAATGCTAGACATGCACAATGCTCAGCAAATTGACTTGATAGAGCACCAGTGGGCATTGAAACAAGCTGAAGATAATTAAGTTCATTTAGTGTGTTTTTTTGAATTTGGTATGTTTATGTTATTTTATTTGGTGTGTTTTATTATTTGGTATGTTTATGTAATTTTTTTAGTGAGTTTTTTATTATTTGGTATGTTTATGTAATTTTATTTGGTGTGTTTTATTATTTGGTATGCTTATGTAATTTTATTTGGTGTGTTTTTGTCATTTCAATAAATATTCACTTAGTATAAATAACTTACCAAATTCATTTAAATAAATATTCAATAAATTGGAAACAACAAGACCTAGACCTATATTCAATAAATAATAAATTACAACCCAAAGTGATTGGAAAATTATGGGCTCCAATTACAAAAACTACTCTGTTCATCATCACTTAACCAATTTGTGGTGCTAAGATGATCTTCTCTTATGGTGCTAGGACCATCTTGGCTTGCTCTCGCTTCTCTTGTACGCCTCCTTTGCACCACGTCCGCTTTCTCCGACTTCCAAAAAAATTTAGAATTTGGAGACTTCCCTTCTAAAGGCGTGTTCATAATCTCACGATCTCGTTGAGCCCGTCTTTCTTCTCTAACATGTTCCCTTTTTTGCCTAAGTAGCTCTCTTTCTCTCTCATTAGCCTGAAATTCTCTCTCAATAGCTATAGCTTTTGCGTCTTCTCTAGCTTATCAACCTCATATTTCGCCAGTTCCCTCGCCAAAGTCAATTCACCTTGGTGAGTAAGTTCTTCCATGAACTTTGCATAATCATTCTTGGAAGCACTCCCTTTTCTCTTTGAAGCCTTCTTACCTTGAGGCCTAATTGGATAACGGGTCGAACCCGATGCTTGTTCAGGAAGGGGCGTTTCGGGCACTTCTACTGCATCATCTTCATAAACATGCGAGACATGATCGAGTGTAGAGTGTAGAGGGGTGTTGTTCATGAAAACTTCTGGACCGACTGGCACAACTCTAAATTTAGGTCAATCGTTGACAATATTCCAACATTCCCACCGGTTGAATGATTTATTTTTGCTTTTGGTTTTGGCAGCGTACCAAGCTTGTGCTTGAAGTTCCTACACAATGCGGGAGAAGAAATAATTATAATGAAAATAAGTAACAAATAAATAATACAAACAAATAATTATAATGTAAGTACGTAACAAATAAATAATACAAACAAATTATTATAATGTAAATTTGGGTATCAAATAAATAATATATTGTTACTTGATCCGAGTAATTTTCTCCACTTCGAATTTATAGAAAAATTATAGAAAAGTAAAAACAATTTTTTAAAAAAAAATTTCAGATTTTTTTTTTGAATTTTTTTTAAAATTTTTATTCAACTAATTAATCTCTGTCGTTGGATATTAAAAAATTTGAATTCCAACACTCCAGATTGTGCTACGTGTCACAACGGTAACTTTTCTTAATTTTAAAACTATTTTTTCTTTTATTTTTTTATTTATAAAGCATATTAATATCCACCGTTGATCTCAGATCGAACGATAGATATTAAATAAGAGTTTTTTTTTTTGACCGTTGAGATCTATCGGTCCAAATTAAAGATTCGTTGAGATCGAACAGACCGTGGGAAGCCACATGGCTTCCTAACGGTAATTGAAAAAGCAAATTTTTTTTTTCTGATTTTGTGTCGGCGACGCGCCCCCACGCGCGAGTGGGGTGCACGCGCTTGATAAAAAAAAAATTAAAAAAGGCCTAACGTCAGGTTGGCGTCAGCGCTGGCGTCACAGGGCCTCGGGCTGGCAATTCTTCACGGGCCCAGAGCTCGGACCTCCACCTCCACTCAAGCTCTCCAAAGCTGGAGCCGGTCCATAGGACCTCGGGCCCCTTTTCTCTTGCCCGTCCCCCGAGCAACCAGCAACGCTGGGCTTGCTCTAATAAATTGCCACTTACCTACAATTATTCTTTTGATAACCTAACATTTTGAACATAATATTTTAGGAAAAATTTGGTAATGAGATGTAGACATCAAAGTAATTACACAACTCATATTAATGAAGTATATCGTGACAAATACAGAAATGCGAGCTTTTCTTCTCAACTTACAAGCTCTTGAATTATTTTTTATATTCTTCAAACAATCATAATAAAACTTCAAATTATGAATTATCCTAAAAAAAAAAAAGCGTAGTGAGGGGAAATCCCGATCCTTTCTCTGTGCACCTGTACTATGTTGACTAAGTGCACGCAGACGAGACTACCCAAAGCCTCTAATGTGTCAGGTGTGTGTGCCTTTTACAAGTTGTGTTCTTTCTTCTTTTTTTTGTTTTTTAAGAGAATGTTAAGTAGA